CGATGCCATTTCCAACGAATTACAAAACGCTGTTTCAAATAATTATAGGCGAGTGTCCTCACTTAAAACAAAGGTAGGTAATCAAAAACCAAAAAAAAAATCGTAAATTTATTTCTACTATTTTTTATTTATTAATTTTTTACAAAAGTACAAAAGAAGCCTTAACTCTATAACCAATTTCAAAAATTACTAAATTAGGCACATTCAAATATTCTAACTACTAGCTGTACAAAACATGCATTTACATCAGCGATGGGCAGAGAGAGCTTTTACTCTATACCGGCGATGAGCATCGCCTTGCCCGCGGACAAAGCTCTTTTCAACTTTCTGTACATTTTGTATAGACGCGTGCAGAGTAAAAGCTCACTTTGCTTATCACCGCTCAATGCGAATCCTTAAGAAAACTTCGGAAAGCTTCAAAAAAGCTTCCACTTCGCTATAAATTTTGGTCATGACTGATCTACATACATTTCACTTCGAGCCGATAACACTTATCCGAATCCGCCGCATTCCAGCGCGCTACCTCGGCGATTGGCCTGCTCGTCAGGAACAACGTCAACTCATCATTGAGATTGAGCGGTGAGAATTTGCTCACCACCACCGCTTTCGTGGCACTGCGATATCGTACGTTTAGCGGCGATTCATAGTCATTACCAAAACTTCGTCCACGCTGATCGGGCCATTCATTGGTCTCGACCACCTCTTGCGCAGCGTCGTCAATTATACGATAGCTTGGCTGTTTGAATGGACTAAAGCCAAGCTTTTGGCAAATTTGTCGCACCTCCTTCACATCTGGTGGATTGTCGCGCGCAAAACATTTAGTATGCCACACGCCATAGGTCTGTTCGATCACCTGACCATACTGGGGCAATTGTTTGTGTTTGCTGAGTGTGTGTGTGTGTGTGAAGAGAGAGGGAGATAGAGGCGGGTAAGGAGTACGAGTTAGAAAAATACTTATATGTACAAATTTAAGGATCCACTTACATTTGGGGTGACTGCGCGAAGGCTGTCTTTCTGGTAACTATCTGTTGTGGAAATTCAAGCCCAAAACAATATTTCTCATCTTCGCCATTGGGACAATCGGGTTCTTTGTCACAAACAAAGTCGCGGGGTACGCATTCCTTCGATGCACTGTAAGCAGCATATTGCAGAAAGTTAACTCAAAGTTGTTTGTAAAAAAAAAATCCTACTAATGTTTCAATTGTTTTTGTGCTGATCTTTGTCTACTTACCCGCCACATTGAAAATGATCAGCAGTGCAATTACATAGCGCTGGACTTTCATCGCTTTTATCCCAACAATTACGTATGCCATCGCATATTTTCTTTGGGTTGGTGGCTCTGGAAAGCAGATTAATTAATTATTTTCTTATTATTACTATTTTGGAATATGCTTAATTTCGGTACAGTAAACGAGTATGGGTTCGAGAAATTTAACGATACCGAAAATAATATCGTTAAAAGCATACTTAATAAGTTGATGTCAAAAATAAAGAATATGTCGATAACGAGTACGCAAAATTTTTTTCGATAACGATATCGATAAATATTTTGATAAAAGTGAGAAAATTTCTCTATTTTTTTATTGCGTTAACAGCATTGATTAAAAAGTGGATACTCGTACCCCTTTTCTTACTTACTGCAGATACGTATAGCAAGAGCAAAGTGTAGGTTCATCGGTCATGTCATCGCAATCGGCTATGTGATCGCAAAATTTAGTTTTTGGTATGCACTTATAGGTGGTACGGCATTTCATCTCTGATGGCTGACAAACTGCAAATAAACAGAAACTAGTAAATAAGTAGCAATAATCGATACGATACGATATTAGTATTTTATACTACAAAAAACTGATTGTCACAATAAAAGTAAAAAAATTCCACACGATGACAGACGATCTTCTAGAAACCCCAACGCTTCGTGTAAGTATGTTTTGCGTAGAAAGCATGTTTCCCTCTACATTTAATTTGATGTTCACAGGACGCTCCAGAATGTCTCCCCCATCTATGATGCCTGCACCACTGTTTAATGGAACGACGAATCTTCTACATTCTGATTCGTTGGAATGCATTTAAGCAACCCCTTTTATGATGAATATCCGGGTTATGGAACCCTTAATCGAGACTAACTTTAAACTCAGTTACACTGAGAGAAAAAACGCGTTGTAATATTAAAAAAAATGTTATGAACTCACTGAGGAAAGTAACGCAAAGTAAAAATTTGTATTTTTTTATTTGGTTATCGTTCTAAAATGTTCGTATTTAAAAATAATATTTTCACATCACGCACTCGTACCGTGGTGTTGATTCAAACTCCAAATTTGAAAGCACTTTTACATGTCTGGCTGTAGCTGAGTGCGCAAAGATGCTTGCCACAATTTGCTAATTTCCAGACGATCAGGACTCAAACCTCATTGCAGGCAGCATGGAAATTAATTTTCTTTTTTTTGTTTATCTTAATTATGAAATAAAGTTGAATATTTCAATACTAAATACTAAAATTTGTATACTAAAATTTATTACGAGTTGGGTTGGTGCGTATTTTTTTTAATTTAGCACGTTCTTTTTTATTCTAAAATTTTTTTTCTCTCAGTGTAGAGCTTTTCTTTTTTTATGCGTACCGCTATGATACTAATGTTTTGCGACGTACAGAAAACTCTTGACCCTTAAAAGGATATTTTAAAAAGTAAAACCGCGAAGAAGGATTTTTATTTTATTTTTTTTTTGTTTGTTTGTACGTAAAAAAAAATTGGTTAGGCCACTTGCGTTCTCACGGCCTCAGATATCGTCAATGCCTTATTAAGTACTACACCCGCACACACAATAAATAGTTGATCTCTTCGGGAAAAAAATTTAAATATACCATTCGAAATTCGCCAAAAAAAAAATCATAAATTCTCCCAATTGAACATTAGTTTTCCAATTGATAACTTTTGACAGTTCCGAGATAAGCTTCAACTAAAGGAGTTTTGGTTTTGTAAGTTTATTGCTATTGATACTTCATGAATAAAACGCTCCTAACCTCAACAACTCCTCGGTTCACGAATAGATTTCACTCACCTTTCTTCCGTCCAATACACATTTGTTTCTCTTCATCCGCATCGTCATGACAATCACTGAACCCATTACAAATTTGTTCTTCTTCCAAGCAATCGCCCAGCGTACAACGAAAAGTGCTGCAGACCGGTGCCGCATTAGAATGCTCACATTTAGGTTGATCTGTGGGCGCGAGATAAATACCTTTGTATATTATCTCAAAGTTCAACTTTGCGCATCAGCCTTCTCCACTTACCTATTAAAGCCTGTATCGTGCCGTGAACCTTTTCCAGCGTACGCAATGCAATCGAGTTCCTAAAGCTATAACAATTCGTATTATTGTAGTCGAACAACGCCATTGGATACCAGCCAGTGTCAGATTGCCTACAAGCCAAAATGCCCTGATCAATAGGATCTAGTGCAGTGCGGCTGAAATTCTTCCTGCCGAATTGTGTGCAAGTAGTAAAACGGGAAATCGTCGAACCCAACGTGTCGTTCCCATCGAGGAAGGCTTCCTTTAGTACAACTTCCTCCGATAAACTGGCAACATCTTCTTCGCTTACTGACAGCTCATTAAGTACCTGCTGCGGTGGTTTACGCTCCACCAGTCGATAGCATGACATATCGGAGACTTTGCACAATGGATCATTTCGCTCCTCAATTGCGGCAACAGCTTTGATACGACCGCTGTGGTCGTCGTGTAAAATTGCTATGCATTGGCTGGACTCATCGGTGGTGGGTTTGAAGCTGTAAATAGAGGTTTTATGTAATCTCAAATAACTTTCCTCTATTCAGTCGCTGCTTACGAGTCCGGCAAGAATGTTGGTAGCACGTAATGTGTAAAGTGTGCCGGTTTTTCCAAGTGATACAGCAGTACATCGCTCTTGGGCACCAGCTCAAAGCAATCAACACGTCGTATCTGTTCGTGGGTGCTTTTGTGCCGACGTCGTTTCGTCTTGCCACCACCCAGTAGTACGGCAATATAATTGGTGTTGAATCTGCGAGGTAATCGTTGCATTTTTTTAGGCATATAATATAAGCAAATTCGATAATCCGACAATAGCCGACTCACCTGACGCCGTAGTGGCACGTTTCGTGCACCATAACCCAATGCTTATCAACCAATGCGCCCACACACCACAGCCTACCATCAACGTAAACATCAACAATCCATGGCCAATGCAGCTCCTCCACGGCTTCGTGCAATTTGTTATCTATCAATAGCGTCATATTTTTCCGGCTCTCAATTACCGCTTCCAATTTATCGAGCACTTCATCCTTCTTTTTCACCAGCAACACTGGCGATGGTGGCGTCACAAAAACATTCGGTTTACCATGTGTCTCCAAAGCCGGCTGCAGTCCGGTTGAATGGACGCCGTCTGGTGATACGAGCTCGCCTGCGCTTA